TTGATAGATTCCGCACCATAGACTGTTAAAGAAAGTGGCAGCTCATGGCATTGGGGGAAAAGTGCTCTCATGGATCGAGTCATGGCTCACTGACAGGAAGCAGAGAGTGTCCATAAATGGGGTTAAATCCGAGTGGGGATCTGTAACAAGTGGCGTTCCACAGGGATCAGTCTTGGGCCCGTTGTTGTTTATAATATATATCAATGATCTTGATGAGGGAATTACTAGTGATATGAGCAAATTCGCCGATGACACAAAGATAGGTAGGATAATTGATTCAAACGTAGATGTTAGGGAACTTCAGGAGGATTTAAACAAACTCTATTCTTGGTCAGAAAAGTGGCAGATGCAGTTCAATGTAGATAAATGCAAGGTTCTGAAGCTTGGGAGTGCCCATAACCCTAGTACTTATAAATTAAATGATGTAGAACTTAGCCATACAGATTGCGAAAAGGACTTGGGGGTTATGGTGAGCAGCAACCTTAAACCAAGACAGCAATGCCTAAGCGTACGTAATAAGGCAAATAGATTACTGGGATTTATGTCAAGAAGTGTAAGCAACAGAAGTTCAGAGGTCATACTGCAGCTTTATACATCATTAGTAAGGCCTCACCTAGATTATGCAGCTCAGTTCTGGTCTCCGTATTACAAAATGGATATAAATTCGTTAGAAAACATTCAGCGTAGGATGACTAAATTAATACATAGCATTAGAAATCTTCCTTATGAAGAAAGATTGAAGACTCTTAAGTTACATTCACTTGTTAGACGAAGAATGAGGGGAGACCTGATCGAAGTGTATAAGTGGAAGATAGGTATTAATAAAGGGGATATTAATAAGGTCTTGAGGATGTCTCTCCAAGAGAGAACCCGCAGTAATGGATTTAAATTAGATAAGTTTAGATTTAGAAGGGACATAGGAAAGTATTGGTTTGGAAATAGGGTAGTTGATGAGTGGAACAGTCTACCTAGTTGGGTTATTGAGGCTGGGACTTTGGGTAGTTTCAAATCTAGGTTGGATAAGTACATGAGTGGGAGGGGTTGGATTTGAGTGGGACTTTCACATCAGAGCTTATTTCTTGGGTGGCATTGAAAATTGGGTTGGGCAAATGTTTTGTTAGTGGGATGAATTGTAAAGGACCTGCCTAGTATGGGCCAGCAGGCCTCCTGCAGTGTTCCTCCTTTCTTATGTTCTTATAATTATTCAATAATTAATACTGATGCTCAGTTTTTGTTCTCCATGGGAAAGTGGAACAGAATTCTTCCTCCGTAAGCCGTGAGTGTTGTAAGAGGCGACTAAAATGCCAGGAGCATGGGTCTGGTGACCCCTTCTCCAATATGCATTACTATGGTTAAAAAGAGAAACTTGTTTTTCTTTTTGGGCCACCCTGCTTCAGTGGGATATGGCCAGTTTGTTGAAAGAAGAAGAAGAGCTCAGTTTTTGTCATTTCATTTATTTCTGCTGAGTGGGACTTTAAAAGTTTAATCACACAAAAAATTTTAAAAGATAAATTCCTTCAGGCAGACATGGGCATCCACTGTAACTTTTCCAGTGGAATCAATGGGACAAGCAAACTTGGAGCTGGACATAAATATGATTGATTTTTCATTAACAAAGGCCACTCACTCCTATCAAATACAGTGGACCCCCGGTTAACGATATTTTTTCACTCCAGAAGTATGTTCAGGTGCCAGTACTGACCGAATTTGTTCCCATAAGGAATATTGTGAAGTAGATTAGCCCATTTCAGACCCCCAAACATACACGTACAAATGCACTTACACAAATACACTTACATAATTGGTCGCATTTGGAGGTGATCGTTATGCGGGGGTCCACTGTATACTCACACATGCTTGCTGGAAGTCCAAGCCCCTTGGACTTCCAGCAATATTTTCATCTTTAGCTTATTGTGAGTGGTGAATATATTTATCGTAGGAAGTCTGAATAAATGAAGAATGGGTATAATTGAAAACTGCTGTATTAGCAAAACGTCATAATGCGAAGTGCTGTAAAGAGGGGCCCTCCTGTATCATCGTACCATTTACAATTACTGTTTAGCTAAATGAGGATAATGTTAGATAAAACTTACCTCTTGAATCCTTTTCAAAAGATTTTGGAGAGACCATATATATAAGCAATCAATTAGTTATTGCCTTTATAGTCTTAAGATAGGTTTAAGTTTACCCAAAATGCTATGCATACCAAGTGGCTTTCTGCACACCTAAATGTCACCCATCTTTGTACAAACATAGCATCATGCTGAAATAAAGATTATGATTATTATAATAACACAATGTACAATATAAAAATTAGGACATAGAATTTTTTACCTAGTCTACCAATGAGATCTTGCTTGGTTTTTGCCCCAGCAGCCACCAGAGCCAGGCCTCCTGCGTGAGCATCAATAATAGACGTTGCAACAAAGGTGCTGTCAGATAGTCCCAATTCCAATGCTGCTGTTGCAGAGATTTTGCCACAGTTAGTCCCAGGTGCCATCACTGTCTTCCCTGATGAAACAATTAGCTCAATTAAGTCAATCTGGGTGCATTTCATTTTTAAACAAGGTGAACTATAGAACTGACAAAGGAAAAAAAAGGTAGGTTAAGTGCTGAGGTATCTGTGGAAAGAGGCAGCTACTGGAGGCAGTAGAGATGTCTTGTCTGAGGTGTAGTGTGAATATTATGCAGAGAATGTGGAGAGTAGAAATTAGCAGATGTGCGGGGTTACAAAATTGTATAATTCAGAGCTTAGGAGGGGTTGTTGAGATAGTGTGGATATTTAGAGAGGATGGAGTAAGATGGAATGACCAAAACGAAAGGAGGAAGGGTAGGAATTGTCCCAGGAAGGGTTGTAGAGGTAAATGAGGTTTTGAGGGCTAGAGGCTTGAGCATCCAAAAGACTTATGGGAGAATGTCAGGTCAGAGTGGAGACAAGTGGTTTTTATAGTTTGACATGCTGTTGGAGTGTGAGCAAGGTAACATTATGAATGGATTCAGGGAAACCAGTTAGCAGGGCTTGAGTCCAGGAGGTGGGAAGGACAATGCCTTCCTCCCAAAAGAGAGGTTGGGATATTGCAATTCAGAAAGTCATTTTAATTTTTTAAGTCACCTAGAGTATTAAAAAAATGTTTTAAATAACTACATAATTTCTATATTCGCTACACAGCAAAATCCTACATATCACAGGTAAACATACAAACACCTTAAATATACACAGTATACAGTGGTACCTTGGCATACGAACAGCTCCCAACTCGAACAATTATGTAAATGTATTTTTGGAAGTGTATTTTTGGGGGTTTGAAATGGATTAATCTAATTTACATTATTCCTTATGGGAACAAATTCGTTCGGTATCGGCACTCGAACAGCCTTCTGGAACGAATTAAGCTTGTAACCCGAGATACCACTGTATGTGATATTTACAGACATTTAATGTAATGTAATGAAAGATGAGGTGAATCATAGAATTGATGAGGGGAAAAGAGTGAGTGGTGCACTTAGGAGTCTGTGGAGACAAAGAACTTTGTCCTTGGAGGCAAAGAGGGGAATGTATGAGAGTATAGTTTTACCAACGCTCTTATATGGGTGTGAAGCATGGGTGATGAATGTTGCAGCGAGGAGAAGGCTGGAGGCAGTGGAGATGTCATGTCTGAGAGCAATGTGTGGCGTGAATATAATGCAGAGAATTCGTAGTTTGGAAGTTAGGAGGAGGTGCGGGATTACCAAAACTGTTGTCCAGAGGGCTGAGGAAGGGTTGTTGAGGTGGTTCAGACATGTGGAGAGAATGGAGCGAAACAGAATAACTTCAAGAGTGTATCAGTCTATAGTGGAAGGAAGGCGGGGTAGGGGTCGGCCTAGGAAAGGTTGGAGGGAGGGGGTAAAGGAGGTTTTGTGTGTGAGGGGCTTGGACTTCCAGCAGGCATGCGTGAGCGTGTTTGATAGGAGTGAATGGAGACAAATGGTTTTTAATACTTGACGTGCTGTTGGAGTGTGAGCAAAGTAACTTTTATGAAGGAGTTCAGGGAAACCGGCAGGCCGGACTTGAGTCCTGGAGATGGGAAGTACAGTGCCTGCACTCTGAAGGAGGGGTGTTAATGTTGCAGTTTAAAAACTGTAGTGTAAAGCACCCTTCTGGCAAGACAGTGATGGAGTGAATGATGGTGAAAGTTTTTCTTTTTCGGGCCACCCTGCCTTGGTGGGAATCGGCCAGTGTGATAATAAATAAAAAAATTAATGTAAACTTCAATATTTACAAGACACTGTTTTGAAATATATAAAACAAGTTTCAAATATGATTTGCAGATACAAATAAAAACCTATTGTTTTTTAGTGAGAAATAGGGTCCTCTCTTATTTCTATTTGTCTAATTTATATAAAAGCTGGAGGAATAACTGGGGCAAAATGTAAATACAAGTCACTTTTGACTTTTTTGGGTTATCCTAGGTAATTTATACACACGTTACTTTGTATGATAATTGTACTTATGTGTACCTGTACCTAAATAAACTTACTTAAAACCAGAAAAAACAGTAATGTTGTCAGTGCAAAATTATTAAAAAGCTTTCATTTTACCAAAGCATTTAGTAGACCAAATCTTTATGGATGAGCCTTTTATCAGTCTGATAAAAGGCTCACCTTCCTAAATACTCTTACTTTACTGACATATATTTTTCTTGAAAGAAACATAGAAGATACGCACCAATTTTATGAGAGTCATCATCAGCTAAATCTTCCAGCCCAATGGTTTTGAAAAACCCGCTGTCCCATCCCTGAGTCCGCCCATCACTCGTGTAGGTCCATTTGCACACTAATGAGCAGAGTGACCTTGAGGGAAACCAAAAATAAAGATCTTAAACTGTAAAAAGAAAATTAGAAAAATCATAAAAACATTCATGACGAGTGTTAAATCTGAGAGACTTTAAATGCTGCATAGCAGAAGATGCTATACATCCAGAAAAGTTGTAGATATAGGAAACAAGGTGAAAATAAATAAAGAAATAAATACTTTATTTGTATACTGTATAAAAGAAATAATGTAGTTTACATGCACTATTAAAATATTCTTTCTTTCAACGTACCAGCCGTATTCCACCGAGGTGGGGTGGCCCAAAAGGAAAAACGAAAGTTTCTCCTTTCAAATTTAGTAATATATACAGGAGAAGGGGTTACTAGCCCCTTGCTCCCGGCATTTTAGTCGCCTCTTACGACACGCATGGCTTACGGAGGAAGAATTCTGTTCCATTTCCCCATGGAGACTATTAAAATATTATTAGGAACAAAAGAAAGCCACTAACATGCAGTGCATTTCAGGCAGATTAATCCTAATGCTTAAAGACAATTTAAGAACTAGACATAGAAGACTCAGCAGATGATGCAACATCCCCCCAATGAAAAGCAGGGGTGTCACTAGCACGTTACGAGACAATAAAATAAGTGTCAGGGGCCCCGAGACGGTTCAACTGCCTCCCAGCATACATAAAGGGGATTACCAATAGATCCCTGGCTGTCTTCAAGCAGGCACTGGACAAGCACCTGAAGTCGGTACCTGACCAGCCGGGCTGTGGCTCGTGTGTTGGATTGCATGCAGCCAGCAGTAACAGCCTGGTTGATCAGGCTCTGATCCACCAGGAGGCCTGGTCACAGACCAGGCTGCGGGGACATTGACCCCCGGAACTCTCTCCAGGTAAACTCCAGACACAGACATTGACAATGTTTCACCCAAGGCTCATAAAAGTCCAGCCTTGGGAGAAATGTATTAAGAGGATTTTTTGCTACCAATGTCTTTATTTCCACATGTTGACTTTCGCCATTACCCACCTGAAGGAGGCATGAGGCAGTAAAGAAATAGTGTAAGGTAGGACTAAAACACAGATATTAAAGATGATACATTGGACCTGTCTCGAAAAAACTTAAGAGGGCATCCACATTCAGGATACTTTTGGAGAGGACAAAAAGTGAGCAAAGCAAAGAATAACAAAAAAAAATTGAAAATAAAGATGCCACAATTTAGTATATTAAGGACACTCCCTCTAAATGTACTGCACATACTGCACAAATGCACCAGTGCAACAAATGTAAATGGCTTCAAAACATTCAAGGGTTCTTATTTTCTACTTTCACAGCCAGGTCTGAGGTTAGGATTCCTTGTTGACTGCCTAGTCAACTAGACTGTTTCTAGCTAGCCTACAAAGCCATCATACACTGAGTGATCTGGCACATATAAGAGTAAGTGATCTAAAACATTTCAAGAATGATTTGGGTGAAAAAGAAAATAACTTATCACCAATATTTTTTATTATTATTCTTAATATACCGAAGGACCACATACCAGAACAGTGAATCTATCACAAATACAGGCATATCTCGCTAATGTGGCGGGTTAGGTTCTAGACCGCTGCCGTAAAGCGAGCATCACCTTAAACTGAACACAAAGAGTAATAGTAAACAGAGTAAGTCTGAGGCAGCTACAGTGAAAAGCTCTGTTCTGCAAGGCACAGTACTCGCCCCCATCCTGTTAAAGTGACCCCTTACTCAAGGGAGGTTCCTTGATGCTGGTGAGGGGCTCTTGATCTAGGGAATTGGATCTGTGCTCCAATTCCCTGATTTAAGCCTCAATGCCTTTGTATGGGTTTAGCACTTCCCCATAACAATAACAATAATAATAATAATAATAATAATAATAATAATAATAATAATAATAACAATAACAACTTTAAAGCGAATCATTCTTTTTTCCTCGCCTGCCAATATATTTAAAAATCTAAAAACATGTTTGCACTATCATTTATTAAATGATACCCAGAGTTTGCAGTTATTAATTTGTGAATGACCCGAGTTAAAACCATCAGTACCTAAACCCTAAACACTTAGGAGCTAATCAAGCATACACAGCAACAGATAACATGCAGGCAGTCAAAGGTGTACTTGCTTTAAACTCTCTCACATGACAGGCAACAGATCATAGAGAAGTAACTTACCTTGAAAACTGTCCTGTGGCTTTCAAGGTCAGGAAATCTGGTAAATCTATAAAATGGCCAGCCCTGGCCCAAGTGTTTTTCATATTCTTCTTGAGCCAAAGAAGTTTGGGAGTCTGCATTTCCAGCGACACTTTACCTCCCACATATTTCAGCACACTGAAAAACATTCTTATGTAAATACTATAAATAATAAAATCCATGCATTTTGTAAGAGGCAACTAAAATGCCAAGAGCATGGGGATAGTAACCCCTTCTCCTGCATTAATTACTAAACATAAAAAGAAACACTTTCGTTTCTTCTTTTTCAGGTCACACTGCCTTGGTGGGAGACGGCCAGTCTTGAAAAAATATATATATGTAGTAAATATACAAAATGTAATTTTTTCTACTTTTTCTACAGTATTCTTTGTAATGTTGACAATTACAGACAAATAATGTTGTGGCAGTATACTTTTTTTTCCACTTGATGTTCACCCCGTACTACATTTAGCCATACATCTAGGATTTATAAATCAAACATTCAACATTTCCTTTAAGTCCACACTATAAGACAGTTTACCAGTAGTAGCAGCTTGGTTGATCAGGCCATGATCCACCCTTGCAGCCTGATTACGGACCAGGCCGCAGGGGTATTGACCCCCAGAACACCTTCCAGGTATACTCCAAGTATAAGTACAATAATGTATATCCAGAAATTCCTCCTTCACGATACGTACTAATGTTCCTGAGAATTAATGAAGTCGGCTTGTTCCTTTGCTCTGTGATCCATCCACATGACAATATTGAACCTGTCATCTCCTGAAATATCATTACCACATTAATCACTGCAGCATTATCAAATTGGAACATGCTTAATGCTCTATGATAAGTGTCATTTTCACATTATTGGTGGCATAGTAATTTCTCTTTCTCTTACACAGCACCTTTCTATATTATTTTTCTAATACACCAGCCATTTCCCACTGAGATATGGTGACCAAAAAAAAAAAAAAACTTTCACCGTCACTTACTCCATCACTGTCTTGCCAGACGCACTCCAATACTGCAAATATCCCCACCCCTCCTTCAGAGTGCAGGCATTTTACTTCCCACCTCCAGGTCTCTAAGTCCAGCTAACCAGTTTTCCTGAACCCCTTCATAACTGTTACCTTGCTCACACTCCAACAGCCAGGGCCGGATTAAGGCATGGGTTTTAGGGGCTGCAGCCCAGGGGCCTCTGCCAGCAGGAGGGCCTCCAGAGATTAAGTGAAAAGTGTTCACAGTTAATGCTGTAAGTTCATAATTATAGTACATTTATAATTATAGTATATACTAATTATAATTATAGTATGTTACTACATCAACTGTAGCCCAGGGATCTCTCAGTACCTGTAGCCCAGGGGCCTCACATTACCTGTAGCCCAGGGGCCTCACATTACCTGTAGCCCGGGGGCCTACAAAATCTTAATCCAGCTCTGCCAACAGCAAGGCTTTATATACTGTAATACGATTTTTTGTCAATGTAAAAAGAAAAACTTTCATTTCATTTTCAGATCACCTTGCCTCGGTGCAAGATGGCCGCGGTGCTATAAAAAAAATATAGAACCACTCACTCCACATTCCTGAAATATTACTGTCCAGATAGGCAAGTGCCTGAATCTCTCTGCTTGCTGTCATGTTTTGACAACATGTACAGTAACTGATTGTTTCCCAAAAAATTTCCCACTGTTTTCTTTCATTAACATTGCAAGCTCTTAACAAAGTACAGTGGACCCCCGGTTAACGATATTTTTTCACTCCAGAAGTATGTTCAGGTGCCAGTACTGACCGAATTTGTTCCCATAAGAAATATTGTGAAGTAGATTAGTCCATTTCAGACCCCCAAACATACACGTACAAACGCACTTACATAAATACACTTACATAATTGGTCACATTCGGAGGTAATCGTTATGCGGGGGTCCACTGTACTGTCATTAGTGCAAAAGGCACAGAGCTGTTATTTCACTTACTTGTTTATTTGTTGTTACATATATACATACATACTTACATATATTGTATGTACAGACATTTTTTTTTTTTTTTTTTAACAAGTCGGCCGTCTCCCACCGAGGCAGGGTGACCCAAAAAAGAAAAAATCCCCAAAAAGAAAATACTTTCATCATTATTCAACACTTTCACCACACTCGCACATTATCACTGTTTTTGCAGAGGTGCTCAGAATACAACAGTTTAGAAGCATACACATATAAAGATACACAACATATCCCTCCAAACTGCCAATATCCCAAACTCCTCCTTTAAAGTGCAGGCATTGTACTTCCCATTTCCAGGACTCAAGTCCGACTATATGTACAGACATACCTAATTAATATGATACTCACTTTAGAGCATTTCGCTAATACAGTGCTTTTCAATTACGTATATTCATGTTTATTATTTTCGGCATTTGTCTTGTTCTTAAGCTGGTTTTTGGCAATTTTCAAAAATATTTATTATTTTTACTTCTGCATCATATTTTTAAGCCTAATGCTACTGTGCACTTAAGTATAAATATTTTTTTTGCTTTATTTACGCATTGGCAAATGAAAAGAAAAAGGCCGAGATTCACTTTAAGGCGATATTCGCTTTATGGCAATGGTATGGAACCCTAACTTGCCATATTAGTGAAGAATGTCTGTATTGGATAGCTATGTAGTTCTTACCAGTAACAGGACAGATAGTAACAGGCCTGAGGTCCTTATCCAACACTACCAGAGAACAAGTAGCATCAAACCCAAGACCATGAATCTGGGACTTGTCTTCAATACCACAAGTTACAGCCTGGAAAAAAGAGAGAGTCAGTTTTTATGGCTTGATGTGGTGTTGCAAGTGAGAGGAAGGTAATACTTGTGAAAGGATTTAGAGAAACTGGTTAGTCAGACGTGCATCATGATGGTGGGAAGTACCTGGAGTATACCTGGAGAGGGTTCTGGGGGTCAATGCCCCCATGCCCGGTCTGTGACCAGGCCTCATGGTGCATCAGGGCCTGATCAACCAGGCTGTTACTGTTGGCTGCACGCAACCTGACATACGAACCACAACCTGGCTGGTCAGGTACTGACTTTAGGTGCCTGTCCAGTGTTGTGCTCAATACAGTAGGACCCCTGTATCCACAGGGATACGTTCCAAGGACCTTCTCCAAATACCGAAACCACAGATAGCAGCAAACCCTATACAGTGGTACCTCAAATTTCGGCCATAATTCGCTCCAGAAGGCTATTTGAGTATCGTTAGCGAACAAATTTGTTCCCATAAGGAATAATGTAAATTAGATTAGTCCCTTTCAGACCCCCAAAAATACACTTACAAAAGCACTTACAATAATACACTTACATAACTGTTCGAATTAGAGGTAAGACAGAATGTAGGATTGCGGATGAGCAAGGAGGTTTCAGAGTGGGTAGGGGATGTGTAGATCAAGTGTTTACATTGAAGCATATATGTGAACAGTATTTAGATAAAGGTAGGGAAGTTTTTATTGCATTTATGGATTTAGAAAAGGATAGGGGAGCAATGTGGCAGATGTTGCAAGTATATGGAATAGGTGGTAAGTTACTAAATGCTGTAAAGAGTTTTTATGAGGATAGTGAGGCTCAGGTTAGGGTGTGTAGAAGAGAGGGAGACTACTTCCCGGTAAAAGTAGGTCTTAGACAGGGATGTGTAATGTCACCATGGTTGTTTAATATATTTATAGATGGGGTTGTAAAAGAAGTAAATGCTAGGGTGTTCGGGAGAGGGGTGGGATTAAATTATGGGGAATCAAATTCAAATTGGGAATTAACACAGTTACTTTTTGCTGATGATACTGTGCTTATGGGAGATTCTAAAGAAAAACTGCAAAGGTTAGTGGATGAGTTTGGGAATGTGTGTAAAGGTAGAAAGTTGAAAGTGAACATAGAAAAGAGTAAGGTGATGAGGGTATCAAATGATTTAGATAAAGAAAAATTGAATATCAAATTGGGGAGGAGGAGTATGGAAGAAGTAAATGTTTTCAGATACTTGGGAGTTGACGTGTCGGCGGATGGATTTATGAAGGATGAGGTTAATCATAGAATTGACGAGGGAAAAAAGGCGAGTGGTGCATTGAGGTATATGTGGAGTCAAAAAACGTTATCTATGGAGGCAAAGAAGGGAATGTATGAAAGTATAGTAGTACCAACACTCTTATATGGGTGTGAAGCTTGGGTGGTAAATGCAGCAGCGAGGAAACGGTTGGAGGCAGTGGAGATGTCCTGTCTAAGGGCAATGTGTGGTGTAAATATTATGAAGAAAATTCGGAGTGTGGAAATTAGGAAAAGGTGTGGAGTTAATAAAAGTATTAGTCAGAGGGCAGAAGAGGGGTTGTTGAGGTGGTTTGGTCATTTAGAGAGAATGGATCAAAGTAGAATGACATGGAAAGCATATAAATCTATAGGGGAAGGAAGGCGAGGTAGGGGTCGTCCTCGAAAGGGTTGGAGAGAGGGGGTAAAGGAGGTTTTGTGGGCAAGGGGCTTGGACTTCCAGCAAGCGTGCGTGAGCGTGTTAGATAGGAGTGAATGGAGACGAATGGTACTTGGGACCTGACGATCTGTTGGAGTGTGAGCAGGGTAATATTTAGTGAAGGGATTCAGGGAAACCGGTTATTTTCATATAGTTGGACTTGAGTCCTGGAAATGGGAAGTACAATGCCTGCACTTTAAAGGAGGGGTTTGGGATATTGGCAGTTTGGAGGGATATGTTGTGTATCTTTATACGTATATGCTTCTAAACTGTTGTATTCTGAGCACCTCTGCAAAAACTGATTATGTGTGAGTGTGGTGAAAGTGTTGAATGATGATGAAAGCATTTTCTTTTTGGGGATTTTCTTTCTTTTTTGGGTCACCCTGCCTCGGTGGGAGACGGCCAACTTGTTGAAAAAAGAAAAAAAAAATAACTGTTCGAGTTGGGAGGTGGCCAAAATTCGGGGTACCACTGTATTTAAGTCCTATATATACTTATTATAAAGTTTAATTGATAAATTATGCACATTAAGTGGAGAATTGTCACTTTTTCACTAATGAGAAGCACTTCACAGATTCTCTTAGGCTTTGAAGAACTGCCAGCATCTATATTTTTGTGCCTTGGGGCCATTATTATGTAAAATTAAGAGGTGTTTTTAAGCCACAGTAAACTGTGGATAATTGAAACCACTGATACTGAATCAGTGGATACAGGGGTTCTACTGTATACTGTACAGTATGTACTCCACTTTACAGACATAAAAGTTATTTGTTTTGTTTGACGATAACCATCTCTGTCCACTTTGGTATTAATTGCAACATTTGAGAATTTTTTATTCCCAAATAAAGATTTCTAAATGTTGCTTAAGTGACTCAATTATCAACTTATCAGTTTTCTAAACCATTTATATATACATTTTGTTATTAAATAAAGAGGAGGAACCAATCCCCTTGTTCATGGAGTTTCACTTGCTTATAACATGCATGGTTACACGAAAAAAATTATATCCCACTTTTCCCTTGAAACTGGAAAGAAAAATTACAGATTTGAGAATATTATTAAAAAATACAGAGGAAAAATAATGTGATAAGCTTATGATAACCAAACAAGAATTATGCACTATTGTTATTTCGCAAGTAAAGCCTTTTTTAAAAATCGTGATTAAATAATCTTGTATTACTATAATGTTTTGTAAATACATGACCCAATATTTTCCATGATATATGTAACCAAAAGTGTAGACAAATACGTACTGTATTTTCTGGCATATAAGTCACAAAAACACATAAAAGACGATGTTTCCAAGCAGTTTTAATGTAACGTTAGTAAACAACTGCTAAAGCCTAACCCAATGTCTACCCTTGACACTGACCTTGAGCATATATGGCGCAGGGTGTTTTTCCATGCGCTTTATATGCCAGAAAATACAGCATTATACTAAGACTTGGCAAACAAAATGACCTTACTTTTACTGCCTGGGACACAGCCTTCCATATTTCTTCTGAATCTTGTTCATAAAAGTCTGGTTTGGGGTTGTAGACAGTTATGGGTACGGTGTGAGTGACAACAACAGTTCCAGAGTGCCGGACCAGAGCTGCGCGGACACTGTTTGTGCCAACATCTACTCCAACATAATATATATCAGCCATGATTGAACTGTAAGTAAATTTATATCATTCATTATACATGTATTAAGAAATCTTTTTTTATGTTTGAAAGGAGCAAACAGCTCCTGGACCCCTAGTTCTTAACAAGCCAATAAACCTGGTTGGTACTTGCTATCTATTCAGGCTGTCATAGCTCTATCTGAATCTATTCAGGCTGTCATGGCTCTACCTGAATCTTTTTGGGCTGTCATAGAGGTGTTTTCAAGGATGGTTTTTATGGTTTTATTCTTTGCATCATTTAATAGAATGGAAGACATACTACTGAAATAGAGATGATTTTTGTTGGTTTTAGGAGCAGGAGTACAGTATCTTGAAATGGGGCTCAAGGCAGCGGAAATATTCAAATTTGCAAATTTTCCTGAGAATGGGTAAGGCCCCTATTTCCCATATGCTGTATAGTATTAGGTACATTACACACAAAAAGCATAAAGTTGCAGCTACCTTCAGTAAGAAGGAATAGTCTTGTAACCATACCTGCCAGAACTGCCAGCTCACTGATTATTTATACACGATGCTGATAAGTAGCAATGATAGCCAACAGTCTTAAGATTACAATATAGATAATATGATAGGTAATGATACAGTAATAAGATTTGTGTAAACCTATTCAGCAAGCTTATATAGTAAACCCTGAGTGTACAAACATGTTGGGGACCTTCTGTACTGTGTATAATAATTATTACACACAATGTAATGATATAATAATAATATACACACCATGAAGATATCTCAACTTGTTTGTAAGTCAAGGACTTACTATAAATATATATACAGAGATGAAGAAACACCACCTGCTACTTGCTGGTGACTTTAATATAAACCTCATTCAAGCGGAAGACCCCCAAGTAGCCGATTTCACAAACACTATGAGCAACTGCTTGCTACTACCATCTATAACTAAACCAACAAGAATCACAGAGACAAGTGCCTCACTACTTGATTACACACAACACTACGGACCACTACTTGACTTTTCTCTTTACCAGTTTGCATGCAGCAAGCGGTAACAGCCTGGTTTATCAAACCCTGGTCCACCACGAGGCCTGATCTCAGACTGAGCCGCAGGGCGTTGACCCCCGAAACCCTCTCCAGATAAACTCTAGGTAGGTAGACTACCTCAGGACACGACAAAGATCTCTTTTCAACTAAACGATGAGTCATAAGTAAATTTTATTACTGCCTGACATAACACTGACTGGCTGGGTGAGTTAGCGGACAACCACGATATTGATGAACGTGTCAAAATATTTCTATGCAAAACCCACAACCTTTATTACCCGGGGTTTTCCTTGAGAGAGTTCCGGGGGTCAACGCCCCTCCCCCCCAACGGCCCGGTCTGTGACCAGGCCTCATGGTGGATCAGGGCCTGATCAACCAGGCTGTTACTGCTGGCTGCACGCAATCCAACGTACGAGCCACAGCCCAGCTGGTCAGGTACCGACTTTAGGTGCTTGTCCAGTGCCTGCTTGAAGACTGCCAGGGGTCTATTGGTAATTACATAACAGACTTTAGATAATGAAAATTAAGCAGATCTCAGCAGAGACTAAACAGCCCCTGGATTGCAAATAGTATACTTAAATCCGTCGATAAAAAACAACTATATGAAAAAAATTTAGATAGGGAATAACAAAAGAATTAACTAAACGATACACCTCAATATGTATACAGTGTATAATATACTGCGAACTGTATATATGCTGTATCAATAAACCAAAACCTAAACAGCAATATTAACTTTTATATGATGATGATAAAAATACAAAATTAAATTATAACCATTATCACATGGTTCTGAGTTATATCTTGTTAGTAACATGGTTCTACAGCCATTTTAGCAACATGGTTCATGTTATGGTTCTACAGTCATGTTAGCAACATGGTTCTACAGTCATGTTAACATGGTTCTACAGTCATGTTAACATGGTTCTACAGTCATGTTAACATGGTTCTACAGTCATGTTAACATGGTTCTACAGTCATGTTAACATGGTTCTACAGTCATGTTAACATGGTTCTACAGTCATGTTAACGTGGTTCTACAGTCATGTTAACATGGTTCTACAGTCATGTTAACATTTGGGTTTTACAGTCATGTTAACATGGTTCTACAGTCATGTTAACATGGTTCTACAGTCATGTTAACATGGTTCTTACAGTCATGTTAACATGGTTCTACAGTCATGTTAACATGGTTCTACAGTCATGTTAACGTGGTTCTACAGTCATGTTAACATGGTTCTACAGTCATGTTAACATGGTTCTACAGTCATGTTAACATGGTTCTACAGTCATGTTAACATGGTTCTACAGTCATGTTAACATGGTTCTACAGTCATGTTAACATGGTTCTACAGTCATGTTAACATGGTTCTACAGTATGTTAACATGGTTCTACAGTCAAAGTTAACGTGGTTCTACAGTCATGTTAACATGGTTCTACAATCATGTTAACATGGTTCTACAGTCATGTTAACATGGTTCTGCAGTCATGTTAACATGGTTCTACAGTCATGTTAACATGGTTCTACAGTCATGTTAGCATGGTTCTACAGTCATGTTAGCATGGTTCTACAATCATGTTAGCATGGTTCTACAGTCATGTTAGCATGGTTCTACAGTCATGTTAACATGGTTCTACAGTCATGTTAACATGGTTCTACAGTCATGTTAACATGGTTCTACAGTCATATTACATGGTTCTAGTCATGTTAACAGCTCTACAGTCATGTTAACATGGTTCTACAGTCATGTTAACATGGTTCTACAGTCATGTTAACATAGTTCTACAATCATGTTAACATAGTTCTAGTCATGTTAACATGGTTCTACAGTCACGTTAACAATTCTAGTCATGTTAACATGGTTCTAGTCATATTAACATGGTTCTGCAGTCATGTTAACATGGTTCTAGTCATATTAACATAGTCCTACAGTCATGTTAACAGTTCTACAGTCATGTTAACATGGTTCTACAGTTATACCTTGTTAACAAAAGTCAGGTTGTTGTATGTATTTTTTTTCTAACTTTGTTGATGGTTCAAAGGGCCACTGACAACTTAGCTTCCCAATTCTTGTAACTTTACAATAAGCTTTATTTAGGTAAATTTATTTAGCTACAGCTACACATATGTGCTGTTATCACACATATGAACCTGTGTGTAAATTACTCAGGATAAACCACCCCAAAAATGTGTCAAAGTGATTGATTTATAGTCATGATTGTAATCTTAAAAAAATAAAAGTTAAGTGGACTGTGGGTGAAAATTATTTACAGTAAATGGAGATTCAGTGGAAATATAGTGAATTGGGATATTTACATGAATGTTAGAGAGGATCAGTTTATATTAATAGGTACCGCAGTGTTAGGTATGTGAGAAATCTCTCTCCTCTATGTAGCTTTGTTCATTAGGTACCTTTCTGTAACTTCATTCATTAGGTACCTTCATTCATTACGTGATTTTCTGTAGCTTCATTTATTGGGTACCTTGCTGTAGCTTCATTCATTAGGTACCTTTCTGTAACTTCATTAGGTGCCTTTCTGTAGCTTCATTCATTAGGTACCTTTATGTAGCTTCAGTCATTGGGTACCTTGCTGTAGGTTCATTCATTAGGTACCTTTTAACTCTTCCTGAACTAGTTCATGTTAAGACAGACTTTGATATGTGTAGGTAATCTGTTCCACTCCTTTATTGCTACATAATGAGGGTATTTGAGGCCTGACAACCTGCTGTAGGGACTACAAAATTGTTCACTCCCTCTAGTACCATACTGATATTAATAAGTTTTAGACACAGGTGCACATAATACAATTATCATACATAGTAACTTGCGTAAATTACGAAATAACCTGATTATAGGGGACTGCATTATGCTTAAAATGCGTACACACACATTAGCTATATGAAGAAATTGAAATATAAATTGCAATATATTTTTTCGTCATGTAACTATGCTTGTTGGGGTCTGATTAATGGAGTCAATGTGTGTTCTTTGACTTTTTTTTTTTTGTGATATAGCTCACAGGGTGAGCCTGGAGTGAACAATATACTAGCCACTAAGGAGGTATAGCTAACATCTTCCTAGTGCTAGGTCAGTAATTCCTGATCAATATGGTAGAACCCTACCCCAGTACAGAAAGTTCTTTGAGACATTTAAGCAATATAAAGTTCTTATTCTAGGGAGTTGTTAAGGCCGCATAGGCTGTACGCCTTATTGAGACAACTTCCATAAGTCTGGTTAAAATGTTCGTAAGTTTATTCACGTACAGATACACAATCACACAAATTATTATAATTAGTAACGTATATATGCATTATCTAGGTTAACTCCATAAATATCAAAGTGACTTATTTCCATTGGGAACCTTGAAATAATTCTCTGCCCGGTCCCTGGATTCGTTATGTCCTTTTGTAATCTGACTACCTCCCTCTAGATGTGTACAAGGTGCATAATTAATAAACTAGCCAGCTAAATATTGGTGGGAACTATAAAAGTAATCATAATTAATCCCCAGGTTATTTACACTATGTATTATAACTGTACATATGTGTAACCTTATAGGTAGTAGGTTGGTAGACAGCAACCACCCAGGGAAGTACTACCGTCCTGCCAGATGACTGTGAAACAAAAACCTGTAACTGTTTTGCATGATGGTAGGATTGCTGGTTTCTTTTTCTGTCTCATAAACACGCTAAGATAACAGGGATATCTTGCTACTCCTACTTACACTTTGGTCACACTTCACAGACACGCACATGCATATATATATATATACATACATCTAGGTTTTTCTCCTTTTTCTAAATAGCTCTTGTTCTTTTTTATTTCTTCTATTGTCCATGGGGAAGTGGAAAAGAATCTTTCCTCCGTAAGCCATGCGTGTGTATGAGGCGACTAAAATGCCGGGAGCAATGGGCTGTAACCCCTTCTCCTGTATACAATTACTAAAAAAGAGAAGAAGAAAAACTTTATAAAACTGGGTTGCTTAAA